GCATGAAAACCCTAATCTTCTACAATAGTAGATGTACTGGCATATAGGAAAAATCCATGCTATAAAAAGATTGGCATATACTACATAGAAGGTACAGTGCCTCACTATATTTGCAAACACATCATGGTGTTTCCATTCCATTAAATAAATAAGACTTATTTATCAAGAAGTCTTTATCAATAAAGTCTTTTTTTCTACCTCAGTGAAAAATACATAAATGCTACATTATTGTCAAGGTGGAAATACCTAGATTAATAATATGGTGAGATTCTGGACCCACTTAAAGACGGCCTTACACATAGAGTGACATTACGCAGATACACACTCTCTTCCCTTTTCCCAAAACTCTAATAGATTTTGTTGGAACCATAACACCAAATTCAGCGAGAATGGCCTACCCTGCCAGATAAAATGGTGATATCGGTGAATATGGAAACTTTCAGATAGTCCCCTCTTACAAGAGGAAGACAGACAAAAAACATAGGAGGCTAATAGCATTACAACTTCTTTAGCAAGTTAAGGAAATTCATAAAAAGCAGTAACTATAGAAGAAAATGTATGTGGGCTAAATATAATAAAGGATAATTGTTCAAAAGAAGAGTATGGGATTATATAATTTCTTTTCATAACAAAAGCAAAATTGTCTTTAAATTTGCAAGGGGAAAATGTTAGCCCTTAATTCAGATATTGGATTACTACTAACCTTATTCACAGATACCTCAGTCTTTATATTTTCCTCAAAATTTTAATTGGCTACTTGCATATAATCTGGGTTATCAGTCATACATAGAGTTTCTGAAACCTTATGGTTAACAGAGGAACTAGGCTGTGTTATAATCTCCACACTAGAAATGGAATAATGCCACAAAACCCCAATTATTTCCCAAAAGCTCACACAGGGATTGAGGCTAGTCAATACGTGCATATATAACAGTTTTCGTCTTATGCAAAAGATCGAAGGAAATTTATTCATACAGTTGTCTGTTGACAATCACAAGGGCATTAAGGGAATAAAAGTCATGGGGTTTGTTTTTTCCTATTTAATAGTAAAAGCAGGTTTCTTGAAAGCCTTGGTTCCTGTTCCTAGTGCTATCTCACTTTCTGTAGCTCCTGCCTCAACCAGGATGGCAGAGGCTGCCCCAGTCTGTGCAGCAGTTTGGACAGTTCCACATTATGATCGCGGTAGTAATTAGAGAGGAATGTTCTAGACTGGAAAGCAAAGAGAGAAAGAATACTTGAAAGAAGTTATTCGTTCATCAAACAAGATTCTGTAATCCACATTTCTTAAGGAATTCCATTGCAATATAGGTACCTACGAAATATTTATTTTTTTGTACTTTTCCTCAAGTATTACTTATTTTTATCCTTTAAAGAGATTTGTCAAAAGTGTAGCTGTAAAAGAAAAATAGGTCCAGGTATAGCCCCTGTGGCTTATCTACCATTACAACACATATTTATTGTGGGGCTTATGAAGTCTACACAGAAAGAAGAAATGATGGCAGGAGGAAGATAATACTGAGGAAGAATAAGGTAGGAATCTCATGGGAAACTGGATTTATAGATGTGAGTTCGATAACCATGCACACATGCATTTCCTTTAAAATTGGTCCACAGGATAAAAATTAAAAGTAAACATAAATAATCATAACAACTGAAATTCATGATTATAAGAAATAACTTACAACATTCCATAAAATTTTTCTATATTTATTTAGGACCCAAACAGATTTTTAAAAATCATTAAGCACTTTCTGCTTCCAAAATATTAAGAGATCTCTGAAGCTTGACCTCTTTTATACTTCTTATACTTCTAGTCAAGCTGGAGAGATTGGCCCTTAGTAGACAAGTGCTTAAAAAATTATAAAATACGTCGATGGTTTTAATCTAATGTTTATCTTTTACTTACACTGATTTTGGGAAAATAGAAAATTTATAATTGGGCTTTCTCTCTGGATGTCACTGACCTCATATTATAACCCAGTTAACATAGTTGTGTTTCTTTGATAACATCAGAGGGGATAAGTTTCCTTGTGCACGTACGGGTAGCAATGGCTCACACATTCTTTCCATCTGGCCATAGTTCCCCCATCTGGGTTAAGCCCTCCCCACCATTTTAACACAGATGGGTCTCTTTCTTCATAAAACTCCCTTAGCAACTTTTGTGTACACTGTGGAAATGGATTTAAGACAACGATATCTCATTGCAGACCATTCACCAGGTATTTCATTATGTTTTTCCCTTAAACCAGATTGTAAACACTTCAAATTTGGTATAAGATGTTTATAGTAGTGGTGGGAACATTACATTGATTTCTTGGCAGATTAAAGTGATTTCTGAAACCCTTTTGAAATTATTGAGTTCAAAGGCGTAGTTTAAGGACCTTCTAGTATGTCTATTTCCATAGTAACACACGAGTCACTTGCGTGTCCCTTTGCCCACCCTGCTGTGAGAGAAATGCTTATGATACCTGGTTGAGCTGGCAGCTGGCTGGTTTCCCAGCTTAGTCTGCCACATAAGGCTTTTCTCCTCATATCCTCACTTCTAGTGAGACATTTTCCTGCCTTTGTGCAGTTTGTCATTGTTTTGCATATCCTGTTACAAATCAGTGACCGTAACTAATTTGTCCATCCTGTAAGAAATCTGGACTCATAACTGCTTTCTCCATGTATCCTCTCCATTGCTGAGCTCAGTTCCATGCCTGCACGGTGTAGGCATTCGACATACGGATGGAATATAAGATAATAGTACTTTAATATTTTATCCCAAATCACTTGTTTAGCAAACACATATTTCACTTGTTTATCTAACAAGGGAAAGTGTTCGTCTCTGATTTTATCAAAGAGACAAAATTATGCTAATTAGGTTATAATATGAGGTAAGTGACATCCAGAGAGAAAGCCCAATTATAAATTTTGTATTCCCAAAATCTGTGTAAATAAAAGAAAAACATTACACCAAAACCATGGATATATTTTATAATTTTTAACTCTTTATCTAATAAGGGCCAATCTCTGCAGCTTGACTAGAAATATAAGAAATATTAAAAAGTAAACTTAAGTGCTTTACATATTTGGAAGGGAGCTACTTTTCAGTAAGTATGTTTGAATTGCATTCAAATAGCAAGTATATAGGGATATACAAAAATCCTTTATCTATCAATGTCTACCATCTCCTAAATATGTAAACTATTAATTGCAAAGAAAGAGCAGAAAAAGGAAGCAAATTCCTTGTGACTAGTTCTGAAACAGCTGTACGCACAGATTTTTGCCAAAATAATTCAAAGATTAAGAAAGTACTACCTCTGGATCCATGGGTGGATATTTTCGGCCTTTGCTTTTTCCAAGGCATTTGGTCTTTCCTCCTTCCAGTAGTTGACACCAAAAACCCTTTTGGGGATCGAACCTACAGCAGATGAACATTTAATGATTGTGCATTGTGTACGGAATTTTCAGTGAGAGCCTCCTCCCTTGGATAAAGGAAATGTGCTTTTGTATGCCCACTGATCTGATTTAATTCAATTCATTTCTACAGATATTTATTCACCTGATTGAGAGAGGCTAATTGAGATGAAGTAAACTATATGTTACGTATTTTAAATAGTTTTACTCTAATGAAAAAGTGTATATAGATCTGTAGTCCAATTTTATGTTGAAATAATTTTACCTATGGATCCATAAAAGATCAAGGACCAATCATCAAAATTACAGCTCATATATAAAGGACCTTTAGGTTCTTTTATTTATTTATGAATGGGATTTCCCAGTCAAAATATGTTAACAGATTTCTTTGAAATCATTCAATGGTATACATTAAAAGGGCTAAGTGTAATATAGGTATACGTCTCTGAATATAGACATGAATTGAACCTTCCAATTTGGAAAACCACTGTATTTTTATAGTTCAAATGTTTACACTTTTCAAAAAGGAAATGAATAATGTAAAAATAAAGTGGAAGATTAGACAATTCCTTATTTCTTTTGTTCAAGGCAGATAATCCAACAGGCTGCCATACCCTTGAAGAAAATTCTAATGTTGTTCTGCTCCTATGGCTGCACTGAATTACAAAAGAATGTGTGTCCTAATTATTTTGTTTAAAACAAAATATATAAGAATTTTTGTTTAGGACTAACAAGATAGGAAAAACAAAAGAATGAACCAAATAAGAAGGGAAATTTTAAATTTATTGCTATGGGACTTGCTGCATGCATAAAACATCGAAAAGGTTTGCATTTTTGTCGCTCAGCAGATGTTTTAGAAGGGTGAAGCATAATTGACTGGGATGTAAAGTTAATTAGGTGCAGAATATTTTGTTGCCCTGGGCCCATTCCTGTAATACCAGAGCTCCCACAATTCGCCTCCGCATGTATGTGAATTCATTTAGGGGGAGAGGGAAGTTTTCTTCACAGTCCCCTGCCCAACCTATTATTAGAGACCTGAATCTTGCAATCGAAGGTGCCCTAGTACATGTTAACTATTAAAATTAAATACATCAGTAGCTAAATGGATAAAAGGAAGACAGAGTCATTTCCAGCCTGGACTTCTCAATCTGTTCTGGCCTATCCCAGTCCTTTCTCTAGTTTCCATTAATTTCCCAAGAGGAAAAACAATTCTGCATGCTGTGTAAAATGAGGGGAGGAAGTCGACATAACGGTGCCCCAAAACATCATTTTCTGCCTCGGGTTGAGAATATTTAACTGCATTAAGGTAAAATACAGCTCTGGTAACAAAGCCAAGATATTTATACACACACTGAGAGCATCTCCTCTATTCTCAGGTAGTGCAGAGGTCTCGGGATGGGCTGTGGTCTCTCCTTCTCTCCACAGCAGCTGTTGTGAGACAGAGCTTACTGCAGTCTGAGAAAGGAGAGCCATTTAGAATAATAAAAGTCACTGGGTTTTTTTTGTTTTTTTTTAAGATAGGGTTGTCATAACCTTGAATCCACATTATTTTGCTGTCCTGGTTTCATTTATTGCATTGGCAATTTTATGTACCTAAGTCTAACAAAGGACATTTATCCTCTGGAAGTTATATCAATTTATTATTTTATGATTTTTAGTATGCACGAAATTGTGATATTAAGATTCAAAGTATTTCTCAATAGAACTGTTAGACAACTTTTAGGACATGAGGTGATTGCCATTCGAGTTTTTTATTCTACTGGACATCACTATAGTTATTAATTTTTGTGATGTGTGAGACATATTAAAAACCATATATTTTGTACTTATCTGTAATCTCTCCTTCAAAAGTGTGATTTCACATGTTTATGGGACTATAAACAATTATCTTTAGTTAACAGGATGGAAACATTACCTAAACTACTTTTGAGAGGCAGGGGAAGATATGCCAACATCAGTAACTATGAATAAGAAACATATTATAGGAAGCTTTGTCTACTTTATTGTTATTTCCATGTGGATAAAAACTTCATTAGGGTTGTTTTAGTGGATAAGGAACAACCCAATCTTGTTACTGCTTTTCCTTTCCCTCAGTTATACTCACAAATTGTCTAATTGCTGATTGTAATCTGCTATGAACTGGGAAATTATATAACCAGGCTTCTTAGAATTTTATCTAAAATTCAACAGGCTATATATCAGACCTCATGAGGGGAGTCTTTTGTAAGTGAGGTGCATGCCCTTTTAAGGTATGTTTTGGCTGCTTGGAGGTTTTGTTTTGTTTGTTATTTTGTCTCTTTACATTTTTCCTCCATTTTTAATTATCTAAATATATGATTTTATTTTCCCAAGATGACTGCAACAGTACCTCCTATCCTACATTCTCTTCTACTGAATGACTTCTCCCCATCTCCCATCAAGAGGTGGAGTCTTATTTCTCTCTCCTTGGACTGGGACAGGCTGTTGTGACTATTGTAGCATAGCAATGCTGTGTGACTTGCAGGTCTGGGTCGGAGAAGGCTGTGGTTCTCTTGGACCACATGCTCTCTGGACTTACCATCCCTTATTGGAACACAGCCACTACCCTGTGAGAAAGCCAAGCCACCTGGGAAGGAATGTCTTCAACCCACTGATCTCTGCCTTTGAGCCATCTCAGTCCAAGAGTCAGAGATGTGAGTGAAGAAGCCTCCAGATGATTTCAGTCCCCCATCATCTGAGTCCTCCCCAAATATTCAAGTCTTCCCAGCTGTAGCCCCAGTTATCATGAGCAAAAACAAGCCATCCTAGCTATGTCTTATCTAATGCCCAGCCCACAGATTCCATGAGCATAATAAAATAACTGTCGTTATATGCCGGCAAGTTTTGAGATGGCTCATCATGCAACGATGGATAACTGGAACAATATACAAGATTATATTTGGTTATAAATCATTTAATAAATACAGAATAAAACATGAATGTACTCCTTTCCCAACTCTGCTCTAAATATTGCTCATTTTCACAGAGGGAGTGATGGCCATCAGCGTTTCATTTCTAACCTGTAAATTACTTGGAAGAGGAGACTATATCTTTTTCACTTTTGTAACCTAAATTTCTAGCACATTTTTGGCACGGAGTAGGCATGTAAACTGTTTACTTAACCAAAATGATATTGGATAAAGCTCACAAAAAGAAGAATGTGTCATAATCTAAGATACACTTTATAAGATAAAGTATTCCTGGTATTCAAAAAAAAGACACTGCATGACTAATGAGGATATTCATCTGACTGCTTCGAGTAATAAAATGATGTATAAATTCATAGTGAGTGTTAATGATGTTGTAGACACACCTACCAGTGATAATTTATGATGGTAAATAATGGAAGTGAATTCAAGCATGAGAATAGACTCACGTTAGTGCTTCAGAGTAATTATAATGAGGTGTAACTCCCAGAAACTTCTGGACTTCATCCATCACAGTAGCTGGGTCAGATCTCAGCTGCTGTCCATCAATAATTAGCAACTGTAAAGTCAAAAATAGCCACTTTATGAAGAGCAAAACAAAACTGAATGGACTGAGCTGCCTGCCTTGACCTGGTATGGCATTAATAAATTAGGTCAGTATGAATAGGAAGAAAATATGCACTGCTCGGAATACACTTAAATGTTTGCTATTCTCTCGTCCTTCCAAATATATAATAATAAAGTTTGCCATAGGCATAATTTCTTATGAGTTGTCAAGTTATAGCCCTTCACTTACTTTATTGTAAATCACAAATAAACATAGAGACTTTCTTGATTTATTACTTCAGTTGAAACCCAATTTTGCATGTGTGGTGTAATCAGGTAATTACCCAACCTTCCAAATTCCCATGAGCCAACCAAGGGTTTAGAAAGGGTGGACAGCCAAAAACCACTCATCTATTCTTACAAACCAAGACCTGGGGAGGGGGAAATATTTGTTCCCGCCTTTCTGTTTATTGGTTTCCTACCCTAGAATAGAGGAATGTTGAAATAAAGGTCAATGCTGAAGCCCACCTGCTGGGGCTTCAATTCTGCCCTGAGCTGGAATGCAGAATATAAGGGCTATTATAAAGGATGCTTTTTTCCAAATTCTTATTTCTATCTTGTGTTTTGGGGGTGTTATAATATTTCCCATTTTGGCATTCAGTGCATGACCTCCTTCTTTCCTTGTAAGGGTCCCACAGGACAGACCACAAGCAGGCGTTTGCACGTGGTAACCCATAAAGGTCTTGTGTAACTGGCTGCTCTCCTAGTAGTCGGCAGTTGCTGCCTGTAAATCACACGATGTGTCTTGTGTGAGGGCTTATCACTTTGAGACTGGCTGCTGTTCTAAACAAGATCCCAAAAATGTGTTTCAGAGCTCTTTAACAAAATTTTCATAGTATTAATGAAATTAAAAATGTAAGAATGTACATTTCCTCATTACTTATTGTCTCTGATTATAAATTGTCATTTGTGGCAATGCTAATTCACACTTTCTGTTTGTCAGCACAACACAATTATGATATAATAAACAGAAAAAATTAATTTCAGGACATTACCTGAGAAGTGGCAAAGTAAGCGAGCCATCTTTCTATGTGGACTGCGTACCATCCAGGCACTAGGCATCTTCTCTGCAAAGTTTTTAAGTCAGATGCGGCCCAATGTCCTGTTGTGATAACTTCATAGAAATTAAACCTCAGGGCAGCTGGGTCTTCATGTGATCGTTGGTGCTTTAACAAGAAAGTCAATTGCAAAGTTAGTGTTTTTTTTTTAATACCTGTGTAGGTATGTGTGTATGTGTGCAAGTATGCGTGTGTGTATTTGATGTGTATGTACACATGGGTGTGTGTAACTTCATTTCACAAAATAGTAAAAGTTAATTATTTGATTTTAGGATAAAATATGGTAAAAACTGCATACATTGGAATAGGCATTGGTGCATTGTTTATTTTAAAGTATTTTAAAGCACAAGCCTTCAAGATCTAGCAAGTGGTATGCAGATAAGGTTGTGGTTATCTTCATGTCTAAAATGTCGAGAATGTTTAGGTGCAAAGCAGAGAGTGCAAGGATTTTCTTCAAGGGTCTGATTAGAAGTGAAAAGATGTCAGGGACCAGACAAATCAAGCCTGACGAAGAGAGATTTCAATGGGAAAGAGTGGGCTTCCAGAGTACTCAGCCCCTTGCTTCCAAATAGCCACTCCCGCAGATTCTGACATTTCTCCCATCCCCCTGTGGGGCAGATGTCGCAGACGCAGCGAAAGCAGATGTCTATTCTTCATGCTTGTTTAGGTGTCATATTCATGTTGATGTTACCCAAGGTCCTTTCCTTTTACTCTCTGATGTGTTCTACCTAAACCTGCTAATTCCCAAATACTGGTTCACTCCTACTTTTCAGTTCCAAATCCTCAGAGTTGTTCACACCAGACCATCCTTGGTCAAGCAGGAAAGAGCCCAGCTCAGTCAGGAATGAATTTAACAGCCAATACAATTTCACAAGCATTCATTAAGCTTCTCTCTAGAACAAAGAACTGCGATAGATTCTGGTGATAAAAGGATACAAGTAAGACATGATCACTATCTTCAAAGAAATCAAATCTAGTGTGGGAGACAATGGACTAATAGATCGTAATAAAGGTGTGTATTTGACTAGAAGTTACTTGCTGTGACAGCAAGACCAGTAAGTGATTAATTCTGACTTGAAAGATGTAGGGATCTTTTTTAATAGCTGAAGCTTTTGAGCTAAAAGGGAGTAAGAAAGATTTTGATAATTGGGGAAAAAATACCAAATGCATATGGAAACTAAGAGAACTTTATCATAGGTAAGTCTGAGTGGAGGCGAATTAGGTAGGTGGGGGTAGGTTTTGCAAGAAATCTAAAAGTGAACTTGAAGAAAATCTAGTACACGGTGAGGACAGAAGCAGGCACGATATGTGAGTTAGAAATAAAAATAACCAGAAAAAGAAAGATGATTAGAAAGTGGTGAATGGTTAAAAGAGTAATTAGTATGTGGCAGAAACTTTTGAAGTCTTCTCATTACGGTATATTTATGGACATCCTAATATATGCATTATGCTGCGTATATAGATGTTCTATAATTCACTTAATTAGCAAAATGTGTAGAAATTATAAACTCGAATAATGATAAACATACTATCTGTATACTTAATATAGTCACGCTAAAATTTCTGTTTTAAGTAGTGATAACATGAAATTTCACTTAATCTGTTCTATACCGACTTACACCAGTTTAGAACCAACTTTTCTTTATATTCCTGCAACTAAATAGATTAGCATAAAAATATGACCAGGAAGTCACAAAGGCACATATTTTATGGAAAAAATGGCACTATAGTTCCTCTGTGAGGTCCATTATAAAAATGTGGGGTAGAAATTACAGTGGCAGGTGACATTTGTAGGATTTTCTGAATTACACCTGCTGAGTTTTGGATTTATGGTATTTACCGAACAGACAGAACTAGCTAAGTAATAGGCTACATTATTTTGAAATGTGGAGCAGTTTGGGGCCCTACTCTCAGCAATACAGCCATAAAAAGTATTATCAGAAAAAATAATTCCCTTCAAACCTGTATGTATGTTCAATGAATTTATTGGAAGAAGCAGGCACAAAGAAGCACCCACATCATAAAGATTCTCATTTATTTAAATGGTTTAATCTATGTGAAAGAAAATGATTCATTTAAATCTGCTCTAAGTCGTGCCTACGCTTTCTGCTAGAAAAATGTGCACTTCCCCTGAGTATTTGAATTCAAAACTTTTAATTAAGGCTTACCATCTCCATGCTTTTGGCATAATTTTAAAAAATACGTTTATTTTGAATTACAGTATGAGTTTTGTGAAGTGAGAAAGATATATTCTTGTATCTGGTGGGAAATACTGACTCATGGATTCTGATGGTAATTTATGAATCTTGCTTCCAATCTATGTTCCATATGGATCCCTGACTACTTGCAATCCAATTTGCAATGTTGTATTTTTCTGTCCACCAGTATTTGTTTTTAGTAGTACGTATTTATCCAAGAAAGTTCAAAAGTCAAGAAAAAAAGGAAGAAAAATATAAAAATTACTTGTTATCTTACTATGTCCTTTAAAAATTCCCTTTTATTTATTATTATTATTATTATTTATTTTGGCATATTACAGGGGTACAAATGTTTGAGTTACATATATTGCCTTTGCTCCAATCCATTATTCACACAGTAGATAATATAACATTTTCCAGTAGAAAATCTGGTAGTTACACCCTGACTACCATTTTTCGAAGGCTTTCAGTTGCTCAAAAAATGGCAACCACATGGTTCTAGCCCCCAGTATCTCCCAGCCTCATCTTCTGCAGGTTTCCACCTGGGGTTTTCCAGACAGCCACAAGGAATTCCTTTTAGCTTTTTAAAATGTGCTATGGTTCTTTATACCTAATAATAATTTACATATGCTATCTCCTTTCCACCATTCTCCTTCTACCCTCATTCAATTAACATCTACTCTTCCTTCAGTTTTAAAAGTTTATTTCTCTAGAGAATGCTTTCAGAACACCTTTACATACTTTCTCACACCACATATACAATGTCTAATTATATATCTTTATGATAATTTGATTAATTCTTAAGCCCAGGAGTTTGAGGTTGCTATGAGCTAGGCTGACGCCACAGCACTCTAGCCTGGGCAACAGAACAAGACTCTGTCTCCCAAAAAATATATATATATATATTTATCCACACATTAGAATAAACACAATGTTTTAATTATCACTTTATTGATTAAAACCATAGTTTAATGTTGCTGAAGAATATTTCATTTCAGTGTGACACGAATCTATACTGTTGGGTATTTGCTTTTCTTTTTGTTATTATTTTTATAGATAGTGCTGCAATGTTCTCAAATATATGTCTACCTCTTGGAAGTTTGCCTTAGCATCAGTTCCAGAGGAGGAACCACAGCACCAAAGGATCTTTCCATCCTCTTGGTAGATATTGCCAAACGAGCTTTCAGAAAATATCCCCAAAGTATCCTTCTATTGGAATGCTTGCCAGGCTTTCTCACTGTCCTCTTGCCAGCGTAGAAAAATATCGCAATCTTTGTCAAGATATTAAAAAGTAGTGTTGCTTGAATTTGTATTTTGTTGACTTTTAAATGGGTTGATCATTTTTCACATAAATTATTGAACAATTGCACTTTGTGTGTGTGTGTGATTATTTAGCTGTGCCTTTTGCTCATTCTTCTGCTATGATACTTTAACTGTTTATATCTATTTATTTATTACCAATTCAGAGAAACGTTTTATAATATAAAGGAACTAAGTAAGCCATTTATCATGTACTTGTTAAAGATGCCCTAGATACTGACTTATAATTTTGTTAATTTTTTATAGATGAATATTTTACATGTTTATATTATTTAGGCAATCTAATATTTCTTTGATTTTTTTCTATTATTTTATGCTTGAAATTCCTTGCCCAACTTGATATGAGTTAAATATTCAGCTCTTATTTCTCATAATTTTGGATGTGGGGGGATTAGATATTTTTACATTTGACTCTTCAATGTTTCTGGGCTCTATTTTGATGATTCATCGCTGCCTACATTGAAGCTACAACCAAATGCTCTTAGCAGTACTTTTTACTGCTCATACCTGGTACCAAGAGTATGCCCTGTCTGAGGGGTCAATGAGGATGGTGATGATCTTGGCTTTGGGAACGAGAGATGCGGCTCTCTTGGGTGCTTCTTCTGAATGGAAGTAATTAGCACTCTTTTCAAACAGGAAGTCACTTGTAATGTTGGATGGAGTAGGGAAAAAGTCCATGTACCTGAAGGCAGAGAAAGACAGTTAATCTGAGATTTTGAGATTTTGTTTTCTTCTCATACTCTGAACATGAAATAAGTTGAAAATTTTTATATTCATGTATATCAATTTCTGGTTATTGTGCTATAATAATCTAAATAGTGGATATTCTATACACTTTGAATATGAAAACAACCCAAAATATTACTTTTCTAATGACCCATTTTGGACAGGGGAAGAAGTGAGATTAAACAGGTAGATTGATAAGGAACAAAAAGAAAATACTGCCGATTTGGACTGATGTTCTGTGCTATCAAAAGCCAAATCCAGAAATACTAAGTTTGCCCCTGGCAAACAGCAACTTATACAATCTTTCTTAGGTATTTTAAAATAGTAAATTTATGTTTACAAATTGAAGGTGGAAATTTTTTAAGGTGAGATTAAAGTTCACAAGACAGAAAGATGTGTAAATTGGAATAGCTATAAAACACCAAACATTTCAGGGCATAGCTGTTCTCCTGCTTCTGCATGATGCATGGAATATGTAGCAATGTGAACACATTATAGTCTATCTCGAGTAATTAAGCGGATATTTCCTGCCAGTTGCTCCTGTGGTGCCTCGGTGGGTTCATTCCTCCATATGCTGCCGGGATGTTCCTCTGCGTGTGGATTATGGAATCAATATGTTCTGAGGTTAATTCAGTGCAAGGCTTTAATTATGTGTGTAACCCTCCTTACAGCTCATCACTTCTCTAACCCGCAAATGTTCTAGAAATAAATAATGAGAGCAATTAAGAATTCATATAAGACACTTATTTTCCTCTTTGACACTTGTTATTATGTTTCCCAAATGCGGAGTGCTGAAGAGTCTCATCTACATTCCTGCTTAACAATTTGTGTTCCATTTGAGGTCGTGGATCAGAGAAAATTACTGTTCTGCTTTTAGTAATTTGCATGCAATTCCAAACCGTATTGAGCCTTTTTAAAGGGAGGTTGGATAGTAACACTCTAGATGCAGAGTGGACACCTCTCTACTCACGATGGGAAGCCTGATCTGCTCCCTGCTATCGCCCCCGCCCAACTGTAATCCCAGCTGCTTCTAAAATGAAGGAGTATCTCACCGAGCACAGGTTCCTGTGTGATGACGATACACAGAGTTACCTGCCGCAAGTGTGTGCATTGAGGGGAATTTTCCTGGGGTGGGATTTGCTTTATATGCCCAGGAACTAGTCATTAAATTCAGAACCATATTTTCTTGGAAAATTAGGATAGAGCTAGAAAACCATCACCTGGATTGAGGATCATTTCCAGTATCAGGTTTATTCTATTTTAGTTCATGGGAAATATTGTGATTTAAATTTTTTCCATCATTTATCAAGTGCTAATTAATATTTTTTTATGCATGTGTGTTACTAGAATTGATATGATTTTGGAAATGCTCTGTTATTATCTGCATGACAAATATCAGCCTGTATTATACTACCACATGTATAGTTTATGTGGTTAAAGAAGATAACTTGTCACAGAGTATAAAATGAAACAAGCTACTGATTTGTTTCCTCAAGCATCATTGTGAAGACAAATTATGTGTACAGTTAAAAAAAGATTTAGGCACAGTAAAATAATACTTTAAAAGACTTTTAAATATCCTTATGAATAATTCTGATGAAATATATCCCATACTGTTCTTTATTCAATCATATTAATTTAGCGGAAAAATATTATCATTATTGCACTGTCCAAATCAAATTATAGGCAACACTGATTAAACATATCATCATTATAAGTTAATTTCTAATTCACTGTGATAGAATTGAGCATAACAAATTTATTCTGTAATTATGCAGATGCCATGCATACATCTGTAATTGCTCTGCAGTGATTGAGCATGTGTTAATAATGGAATTTATTTTTTGTTATTTTCCTTACCAGTCAATTCCCTTGTGATAGTTGTTGCCATTAAAGAATTGAACTTCTTCAAATGTTTTTGGGCTGGGGAGATTGCTGATGATGGAAGGGTGCATAAGAAGAAATAAATAAAGTGCAGTTGTCCCTATTACAAAAAAGATAAAAGGTTATATAGCAGCAAAAGAAGAGATAAAATATTATTTTAGCATAATTTTTACTCAAAAAGTAGTATTCAAATAAACCACTCTTTCCAGTGTCAAAATGATTTCCTTAACATCACTTAGGCGCATTCCATGCGGCAACAATCTAAGTGATCTTTCATTAGTCTTCATGATTCTACTCCCCTAAACACCTGACTTGATACTAGTACGTCGCCAAAGTGAAGCAGACGGATGGCCCAGCTAGGGTAGCACTTTAGGAATCATGCAGTTCAGTTTCCTCCCTGGAGCCAGGTGAGTGGCTAAAGCATGAAGGTCACGGGTGCCCCTATCTCTTCCTCTACCATCAGGTGTGGTACCTGAACCTCGTGGGTCTTCGATTAACTATGAAATTCAGATCAATTAAATCAGACCGTTCAAAAGACGTTGATATGTTACTCTGTGCATGGTCCTGAAGTATGACTCTTGATAAGAAAAACACATTTGCTGCCCTCAATTCACTTAAAGTCCACGTGTGGACTTGGGGTCAAGTACACAGGTAATTGGGACAGAGTGAGATGGGTGCTGTAATGAGAGACAACAGTACTCTTTCAATATATGAGAAAATGGGTGCTTTAGACCCGGGAGGTCAGTGAGGGTTTCCAGGGGGATGTATACTCTAATACTTTCCTTAGAAATGTAAATGTTAACACAAGTTGAAAGAAGAAGGCAGGATTGTAGAAAGATGGCCGCTTGAATGTCTTCCCCCACAAAATAGAGCAATCCAGCCTGGTGATAGAGGCACTGGGCTGGACAGTCTAGTTGACAAAACCACTGTGTAGACACATCTCAGGAGTCTCAGATGTAATCCTAGAGCCTTATTTCCCTCAGAGCCAAGCCAGAGACTGGGAGCTACAGCAGAAAGGACTTACGTGGTGACTGGGTCTTCATAACTCTCTTATGAGCTGTAAATTAAGGCTCCTTTTCTTGAAAAAGTCAACCCTGTTGTGACACATTGGACTAAGGAGGGTTGTTAGTGCCCTAGCCCTTGGAGAATGGAGATGAGCTACACAGGTAGCTGGCAGAATGGTAACCACTGCAGCCGGAGCATCTGGAAGTCGAGAAGGCCAGCAGACAACTGGCACTTTGCTCTCATGTACTTTAAGCTCGTATGAGCAAAGACTATTGTGCTTCCAGTATTAATGAGATTGCCACCTGTTTAGATCCTCACAGCTTTACATGACCAACAAGAAGTACGAATAGCTAAAAGAAAGAAACAACAGAGATCTAGAAGAACCAACCACTTTGGATGCAAGACATGTTAAAATATCTAGAATGGGTGACTCCTAGTGAAATAGGATGGCAAAAATTAATAAATGTCTTTATGGAATTTAATTCCTAATTTAAAAAGACTTTTAAGAAATAAAAAATATGAAATCAAATCATGCAAACTCAATTAAAAAAAAAAAAACCCAAAGGATACCAAACTCGTTAACAACTAAATTACAGAGGCCTGAAGACTAGACAGAAGAAAATATCGCAAACACACTGAAAAATACAGATGTAATAGTTATGAGGGATGAGAGGAGTCTTGAAAAACTGATCTGTTTGCTTCTAAAAATAATAGGAGTTCCAAAAGGAGAAAATGTGAGAAGAGAAACAAAATTGTTGAAGAGATATGAAATGAATTAGTGATAGAGTAGTAGCTGGAAGAAAACATGGAATCCAGAAGGAGGATTCTTTTTAAAATACTTTTTAAGAGGAGACTTACATAAAATTTTTAAATCATGATAAGAACGAAGCATGAGAGAGGGAGAGAGAGAGAGAGATATGAGGTTTTTGAGACTCTTAAGAGAGCTGAGACAATTGATAGTTTAATATCCTTGAGGTGTTGATATTCATATAATCAGTCATAAACTCTGAACCCACTAACATCAAAATTTATGTATATATTTTTAAAATTATCACCTTTGTTTTTATCCATCCTTTTTTTTTTTTTTTTTTTTGAGACAGAGTCTCACTGTGTTGCCCAGGCTAGAGTGCCATGGCGTCAGCCTAGCTCACAGCAACCTCAAACTCTTGGGCTCAAGCGATCCTCCTGCCTCAGCCTCCTGAGTAGCTGGGACTACAGGCATGCACCACCATGCCCGGCTAATTTTTTCTATATATTTTTAGTTGTCCAATTAATTTCTTTCTAATTTTAGTAGAGACGGGGTCTCGCTCTTGCTTAGGCTGGTTTCAAACTCCTGAGCTCAAACAATCCGCCCACCTCGGCCTCCCAGAGAGCTAGGATTACAGGCATGAGCCACTGCGCCCGGCCTGTTTTTATCCATCCTTAACATTCATTTTTATTTAATTTCTTCAATATAAATATTTTGTGGGACAAGAAGAAAAGGCTTTATACTTTGTAATACCCTAATAGAAACTATTCTGTTTTCTATACGATCCACTTCTTAGTTTTAATGTACCAGAGAAAGCCAGCTAAATCATGATAAATTAATATTGACAATGGGAAGACTGATCTTCTGGAAGACTTAAGGCCAGTGAATTACGCTTTTAGGATTATTGTGCTAAATTGAACGCTATTAGAAACCCTCTTCTACACTGGTAAAACCAAAATTTGACTCTGAATGATGAAGGATGCATAGCTGTCCAGAGGATCGCAGAGGATTACAGTTTGAACTTTGAACTTTGACGTCCAGAGCTCCCATGGTCTCTGTCAATCTCTCCTTTGCCCGCCATCTTTCCCTGCAGGTGGATTCCCACCTGCAGCCAGGAATCCCTTCTAGGATTCAGCAAGTGGCCAAGTGGAACATCATACCCTTCCATTCTCTCCTCACAACAACCAAGTAAATAGGAGTTTGAGGACAACTTTCCTATCTTCTATTTGTTATAAAAGATGCACGCACCGCGTTTAAGTTGTTGAAAGGCAACTGGCATAGAACAGCAGATTTTTAGCATTTACCCGTGACCCCGCCCCCAGCTAATTTAAGTCTCTGACAGTTGTGGGAGTTTTGCCAACTGAAGCAATAAAAAGAACAAAATATGACTTCAGACTTCTATGATTGGATTTTAAGAATTATTATAACCATTTTCACATTAGAATAAGATTTTCATAGCCTATGAAATATGATCATCATCCACTTTCTTTGTTTTAACTTCTTATTTGTTTGTTTGTCTTGGGAAAGCCAAAACCAGCTAAAGGCTTTATCATTCCCACAATGGCAGGTCAAATATTAAAATCTAAAGGTCTAACTTACTGTCTTTATAAATTCAAACAAGGAGAAAAAATAGATTTATAGTTACTAACCTGTAATTTTCTAGCAGAACTAAAAAGTAATACTATTCAATGGCAAATGATAGAGGATATGTCTTTAAATTAAATTTTTATCATAATTTTATAACACAGGGATGTTTTAATTTCTTTAGTAGTCATTCCGGAGTTAGCACTGCTGTAAGGGAGTTGGTAGAAAATTAATGTACATTTTAAACAACAACCACAAAAGTGATATATCCACAAGTATGTGCGGCTTTTTTCTCCTCCCTGCACATGTGTTAACTTATTGTTGTAATACAATTTATATTCCTAGATGAAGAAAAGATTAAAACAACCAATATCTAATAGTCTGGAAATTTTGCCCACAACCTTTAAAATGATCTGCTTACTTGTGTTACAAGTATCTTCATCTGGGCCAGGCTTGTTTATTGAGACCGTTTGTTTTGTGTTATGGTTAGTGCGCTCACTGATGAAAATGCTTCTTGTCAAAGTAGTGAATTCAAGACACAGCAGCTCAATAAAAACTTTAATTAATCAGGACATGAACAAAGTGTATAAAACTGTCACCTACTGAAGAAAGTATAAAATATTCTAATTGAAAGTGTCATCTCCTTGGTGAAATACTTTCACTCTGTTTTCCCACATTCTTATACAGTTGTCCTTCAGTGCATACGAAAACACCAAGGAAAAAAAGGCCTGAAGTACTTCAAGTGATTCAGAAAATAAATTCAAATCATATTAATGTCTAATGATCAATTTTAAAGAGCAAACCACACATGTAAAATATTCAAAAGTAATAATGCAGTGGCTCTGAAAAAAAAATCAATTCCAGGCTGATGTGCTGTGTGAAATAGTTTGAATCAGGATAAAATATGTTTTAGTAACTTAATTCAGAATTGATTAGGTAAAGCCACAAAGAGTGGCTTTTTGTGACACATAAACTCAAAGTTTTCAAAAATTTGACATGTATGTTTTACAGTTTTAAAATCTACAGCTGAAGAAGTCTAATTAACGGGCACCGTTGGGTCCCCTTGAGGTCCATGGCGTAATGGTGACCCATGGGGATGAATGGTAGTTCAAGTAATGAACTAAATATCTAAATATTTCACAAAGCAAACCTAATCCAATAATGCCACAGGACAATGTATTTCATAAAATCATTTTTACAAAGAGTCTAAATAGCACAATTGGCTATCTTACCTGTTTTTTGTGGCCCGATTACCAGGAATTTTGGTAAGTGGTCACAAGTTTTGTCTCTGGACCAGATGTCTTTGTGGCGTTTGTCATCACATGGATTCTGCAAGAAGGAGGAACAAAGAATCTTACTGTGTAGTGAATGCCTGGCTCTGCTCTTTAACAACTGTTGAAAAAATGGCATCAAATTCTTGTCCGATACCCGAGAGCTAGGCGTTAGACCTTGCTCTGGTTTCCTGATTTCCGAATCACTTCCTTATTAAGTGATTAGCACCTTTCTTACTGCGTGGCTGGAGCTCAGCAACAAGTCAGTCCTGCTGTCATCATCGTTCGACGTTTGGCCATGTTCTCTGAGCAGTAAGTATCCCTGAGATACTACTCTACTTGAGGGTTTATATTTTATGTCTGCATATCAGAGGCCTTAATTTGATTTAACCTGGTTTGACCATACTTTCATATACATCTGTGCTCTGCTGTAATCGTTCCTATTTTTTTCTTCAGAGGCTGAAATGCCATCCTTAAACTTTATGCTTTGCCCATTTTTCCTTTTCGTTTCATTCTGTGTGCTGTTCTCTTCTTATCCAGCTACTCCCAGAGTTCTGCCACACCTCGCAAGCTGATAGCATCGACATGAATATTTCTAGCCTGTACCTCCCACCTAAGCTCTAGACCTATATTCTATGTTATGCATGTGTCATTTCTGTATAGTGATAACGAGAAAACTTCTAACTCAACAAACTCGATGTATCTTTGATCCAATTTTATCCCATCTACCCTTCACCTCCTGTTCCATTCACTGTTCCATTCTATTCCATTTGGCAGACTCAAATTCATTACCATGACACTTTTGAGAATTAAAAAGGTCTTTAAAATGAAAATGAGGTAATTTTTAAAATATTTATTAACTGTCAAATTGGTTTTCTTACATTACTGATCTATGCAATAATTATATTCAAAAATAAAATTCTTTTTGAAAA